TAGTATTTCTGGTCCCCGAACACATATCCTGTAATGGGCTAAGGATTTTCCCCGGCACTTCAAAGTCCCTAAAACCAGTTTTGCCTTTTCCACCATCCTTAACCCTGAGTTCAGTTCCTCAGACATCAAGACCCCCTCAATTTTTAAGGCTTGAGTTGTTATCCCTCCCATTTTTCTCTTGCTGTTGTGAAACTGGGGATGGAACTCAAGGCCTTTAGTGTAAAGTGATGGATTTACAGCTGACCCGCTGCACTTAAAAGCCCTCGAATTTCCTACCCCTTCTCCAGTATACAAACTGTGAACCACGGGGGTCCTGGTTCTCACTACTCCATACTGACGCCTAGCTCCCAAGTCCCCCATCTCCACCAGAGATTCCCCCCTTCTTACCATATAAACGCACATTCCCTGGATCCAGGGGGTCGAGTCGTCAAGAACTCCCTCCACCCCAATTTAACTCCCTGGGCCCCTAGAATTCCTACCTTGAAACCTCCTGCTCAACCCAATATGCACTTAAGACCTCACCAGAGGCTACGCGCGAGGGCTCTTCCTCCCCGCGCCCCACCAACCCGCATCCTAGTCCTCATGACCCTACTACACACATTGCAGGCTCCCTTGAGTCAACCAGTATCCCAGCCCAAGGACCTCCCCCTCTCCTGGCTAAACACACCTAACCTCCCACCCCCAAGACCCTCTTGGTGGATACCTGGAGTCGATCAGCGACGCGGTGTCCCGCGAAGACGGTGCCAAATCCCCCCTTACCCAGAAGGGGGCCGAGACGATATTCGGCCTCGAACGCTGCCCGATCCTTGCCTCCTACGCAGACGGAGGCGAGGAAGTCAGGGTGGCGGCGTGCTGAGCTTGGCCAAGACTCCCTCTTTCCCCGTATCAAATACCTAACACATAACCAGCCCACCCACCCCACTTTTTCGCAAAAAGGTAGACTATTCTCACCTGGCGGCTGTGTGGGGGTCACTGGGGGCGCAGGAAGCCCTTGTATTGGCTTGGTCAACATGGAGGAGGCGCTGCGCAGATTGAGTCCGCTGAATCCGCTGAGCCCGCAGGGCGTAGACGCCCGGGGCAGCGTAGCCGAGGATCCAGGGCTGGGGGGCGCCAGGGTGGAAGGCGAGGAAACTGGTGGCCCGGAAGCGCCCGCAGACGGCGCAACGTTAAGATTCGTCGCGCGCGCCAGCCCCAATGTTACTGAGCCGGGGCACGCGCCTCCCGGGAGAGTCGCCCAGCGCGACGGCCCCGCCCACCTGGCTTTGATCAATCCGAAAGAGGCACCTGCTGTACCTCAGCCAATCGGAGCCAGCCCTTATTTGCATACCACCCTGAACGTTTCAAGGGCCCCCGTATGCAAATACACGCCCGGTTCCCTCGTGGGGGTGGGGCATGCATGCAAATGATGGGGGCGTACACAGAGGAAACTGGTTCTGGGAATCCCATTGCAGCTACCACTTGTTTTGGTTGTTGCGTGGCGTGGTGGTTGTTGTTGTTGGGGTATGTGTGTACACTTAAAAAACAACTGCGCAGCCGCCTGTATCGGAAGCTGGTTTGCAGATGCAGCTATCTCCGCCTCAAGCTTAGTGCCGAGATAGTACTAGGTCGGCTTTTAAATATCTGAACCTGGGCTAAGTAGGTTGAAATCCTTTCTTACGGGTACTTTTCAACCAGGACCAAGAGTCCTCCAGGCAACTGCAGTCTTCGCCTCAAAACAAGCTGGGCACTAGTGTCTCACGCCTGTAATCCGAGTTGCTCAGTTGGCTGAGATCTGAGGATCCCTGTTTGAAGTCAACCCTGGCAAGAAAGTCTTAAGAGATTGAAGTGGCGCTGTGGCTCAAGTGGTAAAGCACTACCTTTGAGCTAAAAAGCTTAGCGACAGTGCCCAGGCTGGCCCTAAGATCGAGCCCCAAGATGGACATGGACACACACATAAACGTGCGTGCGTTAGCACCCAGAAACTAGCCTCCTAAGAGTCTTACCAATCTTAATGGAGGGTAACTGAGCACTGCATTTGGAGTCACACCTTTTAGCTTTCTAGGACTTGGCTGGCCCTACCCAGTCGATAGGGCATTTTGTAGCCTTTAACACAGACCTGGTGAGACTCAGCCCTGGGCTCATTCAGTGGGTGTGGAATCGTTAACCTATGGTGGAATAGCCTGAGGCAAAATTGCATGAGAAATGGCCAGAGAAGGCCTCAGCCTTAGACACATGCAACCAACAGACACAGAAATGCCCTAAGACACCAACACCCAGACACATATACAGAAAGAAAAGTAATGCCCCAGGACTGGGAGATACAATGCTGCACACAGACACTTCCAAGACACACATGGACCTACACTGCCATATGACAATACATAAATGTCCGGCCACACACTGACAAACTCGTTATAAACATACTGGCACCACCAGGCATGGCACTGTCACAGAGACTTGTACTGTCCCCAAAATACAGACCTAGAGTCTGTCATGAGAAGATACACAGATGCTGTAGAAACATATGCAGTGCTCCAAAAGCAGGCATGTAATGATGTGAAAGAACTATAGAATTGCAGTGTCACAAAAACACACTGATAGACTAAGGCACAAACACTATCAGACATGCAGCCTGGTCACCAAAACTATCCAGAAATAGGCACCTTGAATCCGTCACAGGAATACAAATGGACATCTATTCCCATCAGACAGAAACCACAGATGCATTGTCACAGTCCCATGCAGACAAGCACTCATCTCTGATAGAGACACAAACTGTTAAGAGTCCTACACTCAGTCACCACCTGACATACCTGGAAACAAGCCCTCATCAGATACACACACACACACACACAAGGGACTAGGCAGACACTGTAAGATGCATAGAAAAACTTTTGGACTCACTAAAGTCACACATAGGGACAATATTCAAAAAGTGAACACACACTTGTACTCTTTGTTCATCCAACAGTACTACAGGGCCTCTATAAGCCTGTCAGGCTTTAGTGGGAGGTGGGGGGGGCAATAGAGCTTAGGCACACACGAAGTTGAGTACCATAGCCCCTGCCAAGGAAGTTTATTTGTTGTACAGATATTTGTAGATACAAGTAAGAATGTGAGGGGCTGAGAAGGTAGCTCAGTGGGAGAGTGCTTGCTTTGCATGCATGAGGCCCTGGGTTTGATTCCTCAGCACCACATAAACAGAAAAAGCCCGAAGTGGCGCGGTGGCTCAACCGGTAAAGTGCTGGCCTTGGGCTGAAGAGCTGAGGGACAGCACACAGGCCCCACGACCGACCAAAAAAAAAAAAAGTGAGAATGTGAATGGGGGTCACATGGCTTCTCAGGTGACCCTCTAAGGTCTCAAAAGACAAATGAGGTTGGTAGCTGGAGACAAGGGCAAATTGCAGGTAGATGCCCAAGGAAATATGGACAAAGTACCAAGAGGGAGGCAGAAAACAAATGGTACTTTGTGTTGATCATATAGTCTGTCAAAGCTCACAATCACTGAGAACATGAGGTTAATAAACACTAATTACTCCAGTAGCTGCAGAAGGGAAGGTGAGACTCAAAGAATACCCAAGGCCATATAACTAGAAAACCATAGAAGTAGGTTTCAAATCAACTCCCAGAACATTCATGTTTGACCACTGTATTCCAGGTAGCCTGCAGCCAGCCATTTAGCAAGTCATGCTCTCACATGCAGTGACAAACATTCTTGGGGTCCTTAGGGGCGCCGTGAGCCCGGCAGGGGAAAAAAGGTGTTTTGAGAAAATGTGGGGTTCAACCAGCCCTCACCACCTGGGCTTTATCTCTAAGAGGGGCAGGGACAAAGTGTCAAGAAGACTGGTAAACAACAACAAGATTCAACTATTTCATTCTTCAGCTTCTACAAAAGCCCCAGAGCCTCCTCTGGTCACTCTAAATTCAGGCTGCTAATGAAGTGTCCGTAGGGCATTTCCAAAGCATTTCCTCATCAGATTATCATAAGAAAGAGCAAACATAGGTAGTGAGAGACAAGAGGGGTGTGCAAGTGAGTAGTAACTGGCATTCAGACCAGAAATTCAGTCTCTGCACTCCACAATCCCAGATGTGTGTGTGGAGGGGTGCTGTTAAGACAAAGGAGATTAAAAAAAATTAGTCCCTGAATGAAGAACATTTTGAAAACAAGAAAAACCAAAGAGAGTCTACCCCTGTGTCCCCGTCTAGTCTGGAACTACTGGGCTCTAGAAAAATATACTCTGGCTTGAGTCTCAAGAGTAGTTAGGACTATAAATACAACCTACTACTCCTGACCAGAAGAAAGTTTAATGAGCAAGAATCAGGGTACCAATAGCTCATGCCTGTAATCCTAGCTACTCAGAAGGCTGAGATCTGAGAATCGCAGTTCAAAGCCAGCACAGGCGGGAAAGTATGTGAAACTCTTTATCTCCAATTAACCACCAGAAAACTGGGAATGGAGCTGTGGCCCAAGTGGTAGAGCACTTGCCTTAAGCTGAAGAGCTCAGAGATGGTGCCCAGGGGGGGGGGAGGGAGGAGGAAGGGGGAGAAGAGAGACACAGACACAGACACACACACACACACACACGGACGGACAGACAGACAGAGGGGGGGAGGGGGCACGCTTGCAGCTGGGTAGGTGACTGTATGTAATCCTAACTACTCACGAGGCAGAGATCTTAAGGTCAGGTTTGAAGCCAGCCCTTCCTACTCATTCTTGTCTCCAATTAAGTGTGGAGGTATGGATCAAGTGATAGAAGGCCAACCTTGAGCAAAAAACTGAAGCAAGATTCCTGGCCTTGTTAAAGCCCTGGTATGGTAATTCTCTCTCTTACACTCTCACTCTCTCTCTCTTACACTCTCACTCTCTCTCTCACACACACACACTTACATGCATCAAATAAACATAAACTTTCAGACTGCCCCACAGACATGTGGATCTGAGGTCAAGCCAAGGCTTGTTGTCATCATCAACTCTTCCCAGAAACCCACCACCCACCATGGCCCACACAGAACAGAGCAGCTCAGGGAAACTGACATTTGGTTTTATTGTGCCAAGGACATTACAGATGGTAGATCTTGTCAACACCTGCAGGGCACGGGTGCCCCATCTGCCAAGGCTGCTCCCACTCCCTTCACTCAAATCTTGGGTGGCGGCCATAATCCCCAAAGAGGCCCTCCACCTCAAGATTCCAGAGAGACAACTGGTGGTGGTGGAAGCAAAAGGAATGCAGCAAGGTCAGGGTCTCACTGTCCAAAGCCAGTTAGACACCTGCCACCCCTGTCCCTACTCTGGCTCACACCCTAAGCCCTCAGCCCACCTACAGGGAGCTGGAGACCAGAAAACAGTGGCAACCCACATCTTTTGCACCTTCCATGCCCCATGGCCAGCCTGCCTGCCCCCAAACCAGTGATGCCACCTTCACAGAATTAATGCTGTTGTCTACATCAATTTGGATTGGTTGAGGTTTGTAAGATAAAAGTATGTTTTTAATAAAGAAATTAGACATTGAAGGCTCAGACATTGTTGGGGTATTTGAAAGGGAAATTTCCCACTCCGTCCTCCCACCTCACTGGCATCTTTGTAGGGGGAAGTGGTGACAAGACTGTTTGATCTCAGAAGGAAGAGCAAGCAGGAGACTCTTTCCTGGGGCTGCCTGGCTGTCAGGTGGTGTATTTGTGTGCCTCTTGCCTACCTTCTGCACCCCTGCCAGAGTGCCCTGTGGGATGCAGGGATGGTGCTGTGCAGGGGGCAAAGGGCACAACAGCTGGTGGAGACAAATGATGGAGGCAGGAGTGAGATGGAGTGCAGGGTGGGCCAGCCATAGGGAAAGTGGAGGAGGGAAAAGAGGAGAGAGGTAAAAGAAAGCCAAAGAATGTGGGGTGGCACCAGAGGCCCAAGAATCAGGGTTTAGGAGATGGTGTCCAATTCCTGCGTCTCCATCAACTCTTGTCTGGGGGTGGGTCTCTGTGCACTTTATTTTTCTTCATACTGTCTAGATATTCCTGCTGAGACACTGCCAGCACAGATGCTAGGATCTCATCATCATCCCAGTCGTTCAGACCTGCTGGGCAGAAATAAAGAAGCAGACAAGGATAACAGGACACCCTGAGCCAACTTCCCCCACCCTTGGGCCAATTCCCACCCAGAAATCACACCCAGGCCCCTGTTACTCCTTTTTCTCTCACAGGCCTCAGCCCCACTAGAATTCCCTTGTGGGGAAAACCTCTTGGACCTGAAACACCTCCCTGGTGCTCTAAACTTTTGGGGGAGACAGCCAGAGGTTCTAAAATCCCATTCTCAGGACTCACCACTTTTTCCAGTCTCCCAAACTACCAGATGGCCCATCCCAGAGGTGACTTACCAAAGGCAGAGGGGGACATCTGCTGAATAAGGGCCCGGCACTCCAGAGCGGGATAGAGAGACACAAGAGGAGAGGTGGCTCGATCGGCTCCTGCGGAGAACTGACTGCTTGTACCTGAGGCAGATGAATAATCAGAGGTAGAGCCCAGGCCCCAAGCCTACCACCAGCTCTCAAGCCTGCAAACAAGTCACTGACCTGGTGCGCAGGGTGAAGGAGGTTTGGCAAGAGCTAAGACAGTGCCTGGGGAAGGGGGCTTGATGCCCAGCTCAGCATGCAGCTCAGGGTGCTCGGGTGATGAGGCTGAACTCCGCTGCCGTGGAGATCGGCTTGTCCACTCCTCAAGGCCACTGGCAGCGGCTGCTGTGGCTGAACTGCATGTGGCGCTGGCTTTCCGAGTCTGCAGTTGGGAAGGAAAAATCCATAAGGACCAACACAAGCCAACAGTGCTATTGTGCTCCAGCCCTCAAAACAACTATTTTCTTAAGACACTAGTGAGGAAACAGCTCCATTGTATGTCCTTGTCATTCCCATTCACTGAACCACAAGCTCTCTCTCACAGGACAAAGGCTGGGCATTTTTTTGGTCTGAGACCAGAATTCGAACTCAGTACTTGACTCACTGATTGGCTAGTGCTTGCTCTGCCAACTGAGCTATATCTCCAACCCCAGGTTGAGTTTCTTAATACTGGTCTCTCAAACCCTTGCAGCCAACTGACAATCCTATTCCCTCTACCTTCAACAGATCTGAAGCCAACCCAACTCCTTACCACCACAGCTCTGCCACTGCCAGCACCTTCACCATTCACCAGAACTACTCTAGTAGCCTCCTCTGGTTGATCCCTTGCAGGAGAGTGGATGTAGGGGACCTCTACAATCACCAGTTAGGAGGAATCTTATTAAATCTTAATTCAAATGCAGGTGCCTGTGGCTCATGTCTGCAATCCTAAAGTACTCAGGAGGCTGAGATCTGAAGATCATGATTTGAAGCCAGCCTGGGCAGGAAAGTCTGAGACTCATTCCACTAATTACCCCAAAAGCCAGAAGTGGAGCTGTGGCTCAAGTGGTAGAAAAAAAAATCAAAGTGAAGCTCAGGGACAGTGCTTAGGACCTGAGGTCAAGCCCTAGGATCAGCACACACACATCCTAACTCAAAATCCCATTGTTTCTTCCTCACTCCGAGAAAAAAAAAATCCTCTCCACAGGCCACAACTCCCTACCCAACCTGACCACACCACCTCCCTGCCTGTATTCAGTAAATAGTACATTCTATTTAGACATAGTGGCCTTGCTTTAGGCTATACCTAAGTTACAGCAGATCTACTGGCCCAGCCCTCTGACTTCATGGTCTTTGTGTGTAGCTAATGTGTGCTCCCTGCTTCTGCAAGCTTTTGCTCAAGTCTCACCTGCTCTAAGGTCTGTCCTAATCACACTATTTAGTCCTATGAACTCTTGTCTATCTCCACTCAGTCCTACTCATCCCCTATACTTAAGGCTCTTCATTTTTCATCCATCACATTCTCAACTAATTTATTCATCATTATTATTTTGTTACACTCTGCAAGGATGTGAGCATCACAAGGACAAAACATGGCCTGCTGGGCTCACCAATGTATCTCAATAGCCTAAGAATAGAGCCTCTTGGCACAGGCCTGCAAGGTATTTGTTAAAACAAATTATCAGCTCTTATAAATATACACAATCACTTCATGCTTCTTGTTTCCTGAGATGCCTGCCTGCTCACCTCTCTCTTCAGCCCTTAGAAGGCAATCTGTGAAGAATGATGGGAGCCCCTACCTCTTACAAATGGGGTCACAGGACGCACTGAGCACATTGAGTCTGTCTGTCTGTCTGTCTCTGTCAGTCTTGGGGCTAGAACTCTGGGCTTGGGTGCTGTCCCTGCGCTCTTTAGCTCAATGCGAGCATTCTACCACTTGAACCACAGTGCCACTTCCAGTTTTCTGGTGGTTGATAGGAGATAAGAGTCTCACAGACTTTCCTGCCCAGCCTGGCTTTGAATGGTGATCCTGAGATCTCAGCCCCCCGAGTAGCTAGAATTACAGGCATGACCACCAGTGTCCGGTTCTCTATTTTTTCAGTTGTGGGGCTTAGGCACTGTCCCTAAGCTTTTTTGCTCAAGGTCAGTGCTCTATCACTTAGAACTACAACTCCATTTCCAGTTTTCTGGTGGTTAATTGGAGAGAAGAGTCTCACAGACTTTCCTGTCAAGGCTGGCTTTGAACTGCGATCCTCAGATCTCAGCCTCCTGAGTAGCTAGGATTACAGGCATGAGCCACTAGCACCTGGCAAGTCTTTCTCTCAACAGGTAGCATCATTGAGAGTAGAGCAGTCTGACACTGAGTTTACATCCTCAGTACAGAGCTTAGCATGCAAGGGTATTGAACAAAGCTTTATCTATAGCTAGCATGGCTCCCTTGTGTCATAAGTGTGCATAAGTGTTGAGAGTTCTAAGGCATAATGCCAAGACTAGGGCCAAGATGAGTTACAGATGTGGCTGGGAGCTTCCTTCCTTCCCTGATGTCAAAACCACTTCATTTTGTTCTATTCATTTGAGGCAAAACATACAAAGTAAATAAAGGGTTCTTTGCCTGGCCCATTCATGACCCACCTGGCTGGTGCCTCGGACCTGGCGGGCCTGTTTCTCCTGATCCCTCAGCCACTGTAAATAGGATTCTCGAGCCACTTGTTCCTCAATGGCCTCATTTGTGGCCTCCCAGTCTGTGGCTCGTTTCTTGTCTTCTAACATCTGTTGTTCAATCCATGATTCCTCTGATGTTTTTATGGCATTCTTCATTAAGGACTGCTCGGCAAACTGCAAGGGGGAGAGAAACAGGAATGTTGTGTGACCTTCTAATCCCGATGAAGAACTATTGTAGCCATTCTATGCAGTTATTTGTCCAATCTGGACTCTTCTAAAGTAATGGTTACAAAATATAGTCCCACAGGCTCCAGAAGAAAAAAAGCTGGTACTCCCACAAAGAAAACCTTGGGTCAGGGACTGGGGGAAAATAGGCTTGAGTTATGAGCCCACTCATTCCAAACTGATATGCATACTCAGAAGCCCTAACCCAACCTCAAGATGTCTCAGAGGAGGCACTAAGTCTAGGGCAGCAGGTGCCTTCTAAACTAGTCCTCAAAGAAGCCTCACCTAGTGATGACTCAGTTTCACAATGTTGGCACCTTCTTTACAAATACTCAGATGGAGCAGAGAAAAGATAAGCAGAGAACAGAAGTTGGTAAACACAGGGTGAAGGGAGTAGGGATTAGGTGAGGCTCTGGGAGATGAAGGACCAGGACTGGTATGCTATAGATGCTATGAGTTCTAGGGCATTGCATGAGTATAATGTGTTATGATGTGAGACACAAAAGCATTTTCAAATGTGGAAGTAGCAGAAAAAATACATAAAATATGTCCCGGGGAGTAAATATGGCTTTGTGAAGCTTTAGTTAACATTGTTATTTTGTGACAAGCTCTTGGGTCAGGATGTCCTTGAGCTCACCATTCTCGGGCCTCACCTTCCGGAGTGCTGAGATTAAAGGCACTTACCATCACACCCATTAACATTAAAAAAGAAAAAAGAAAAAAGATGGACACCTAGGTCTATAAATCATAGCTACTCAGGAGGCTGAGATCTGAGAATAAGGGTTCAAAGTCAGCCTGGGCAGGAAACTCCCATAGACTTATTTCTAATTAACTACAAAAAACAAAGGGAGAGGAACTATGGCTCAAGGGGTAGAGCCCTAGCTTAAGCAAAAAAAGCTCAAGGACAATGCCCTTGAGTTAGTGGGACATGATCCCAGAGCAATTCCTCTATCACTTGAGCCACACTTAAGTCCATCAGTTAACACTGGCATAAACATTCCACTCACAAATGCATGTGAGCTAAGTATCGGTATAAAATGTAATTAATTGTCTACTGTGAAATGACAGAGTATGTATAAATCTGTTTTACAACAAGCCAATTTTAAAATAGATAATGGACTAAGGGTGTAGGCAGGGATAAAACACAAATAGGAGGCTGTGGGTTCAGTCCAAACACTGCAAAAACAAACAAAAAAAACTAACTTAAAAACTAAAAATAGGCAAGCAATCTAAACAGAATTCAAGAAAAAAAGATGGTAAGCAGAGAAGTTAAAAATGCTTGGTCTGGGGATATAGCTCAGTGATAAATCACTTTTTAAAAAGTTAAACACTAGCCCGGCCGGTGGCTCATGCCTGTAATCCTAGGTACTCAAGAAGCTGAGATCTGAGGATCGAGGTTCAAAGCCAGCCAGGGTAGGAAAGTCCGTGAAACTCTTATCTCCAATAAACACTCAGCAAACCGGAAGTAGCACTGTAGCTCAAGTGGTAGAGCTGAAGAGCTGAGGGACAGCGTGCAGGCCAGAGTTCAAGCCCCATAACCGACCAAAAAACAACAACAACAACAACAAAAAGCTCTGTCCTTAGGCAAGTAAAAACAACAACAACAACAAAAAAGATTTTATGACAGAAATACCTAAAGAGAATGGCTAAAAATTCAAAATAACTGATGGCAAGATTAATTGCCACAAAAGATTTAGAACAAGTTTTCGTTTTGGTAGGTAGGGAGTTTGAGCTATGCAGTCAGTCAACCTCTTAAGCTCATCTTAAACTTAGGAATTTAGGAACTTACTTTGTTATGATAGGGAGTGGAATACAAAACAAAACCTTGGAAGATAGGTTAACAGTTTCTTACAAATCAAAGCATAGTTTTATGTGACCCAGTAATAATCTAAAACCTATGTCCATATAAAAATCTGTAGACAGTAGCTTATATATGCTTTATTCATAATCACCAAAAACAAAAGCAAGCCTGGTGCTGGTGGCTTATGACTACAATTCTAGCTACTCAGGAGTACTGTGGTTCAATGCCAGCCCCTGCAGTAAAGTCTGAAAGACTCTGTCTCCAGTTAGGCAACAAAATGCCAGACTGGAAATATGGCTCAAGTGGTAAACCACCAGATAAAAGCAGGAAAGCCACGTCAAAGTATGGGACACCCTGAGTTGAGGCCCAAGTTCAAGCACCAGCACCAAAAAAAAAATTAATTGGAGGGTTCTTAATGCATACAAGCTATCTCAAAACAGTAGTTTGTTTGTATGAATCCAACTATATGACATTCTACAACAGGCAAACCAGAGTCAATACACGAGTGATTTTGGATAGCTGAATGTATGCAGTACAGGGAACTTTAAAGATACGGAAAGTAAAAGGAATGTTCCAGCAAAGGTAGGTAGTTAGTATAAGTCAAAACATGTTGAAATTTACAAAACAAAGACTAATCCACAAGGCACACAGATTAAAAAAAAAGACCATTGAAAAGCTGGAGGGGATTTTAGAACACAATGCAGACAGAGACAAAAGAATCTAAATTACAAATGTCTGCAAGGACCTGCAGGGAGTTGGTAACCTAAGGCATTTTGCAAGTGAATGGAATTTGTAACACTAAAGACAAAAGGAGTAGTGCCTAGCACTTGGTACTCCAGGGGGTACCAAGTTAATGAGTAGAACCAACTTACTTATGTATATGCACATAGTAGTTATGTAAATGATGGGTGCTGGGTGGAAAAGGTTTCCCATCTTTGGAATGGGAATTAACTCACAAGGAGAAAAGACTAGAATGATGCTTGCAAGTAATAGTAAATGGAATAGAGTTGTAGATAAGTGTAACAACTCAAATTTCGTTTTTGCTTTTTTTTTTTTGCACCTATCTTGGGGCCTGAATTCAGGACCTGGGCACTGTCTCAGTTTTTGTACTCAAGGCTGGCACTCTACCATTTGAGGCACAGCTAGCTCCACTCCCAGCTTTCGGTAGATTATTAGAGAGAAGATTCTCATGGACTTTCCTGCACCAGCTTCAAACCATAATCCTTAGATCTCAATCTTTTGAGTAGCCAGAATTATAGGCATGAAACACCAGCACCCAGTTTCATGCTTAGTTTAATGCAGATTCAGATCTAATTTATAAATACTGATAAATATGTGAACACAGAGATAGTGTGTATACACACATGTTGTTCCTTGCTCTGTGAGTTAAGAGGACCTAGAAGCAAGGACAATCTAGTGGCAAAGCATACTCAGCACTTAACTCTTGGTTTCTAATAACATTGTGAAATAAAACTTTATGGTAGACAATGGCTAATTCTAGGACTAAAAGAGAAATTACCAGAGATGACCGTGGAAACACCTTGTAAGACTAAAAACTGATGAACCTGGAAACACTCTGTGAGACCAAAAATAAATGCTTTATTAAAAATGTTGGGACAGGGGCTGGGAAGGTGGCCCAGTGGTAGAGTGCTTGCCTTGCATGTATGAGGCCCTGGGTTCGATTCCTCAGCACCACATAAGCAGAAAAAGCTAGAAGTGGTGCTGTGGCTCAAGTGGTAGAGCTCTAGCCTTGAGCTGAAGAGCTGAGAGACAGTGCCCAGGCCCAGAGTTCAGGCCCCACGACCGGCAAAAAAACGAAAACAAAATGTTGGGACAATGTTCAGGCTCTCCCCTGGGGAAAACCAAGTTGGGCTGGGGCTGAGATCTGAGGATCATGGGCCAAGAAGCCAGCCAGGGTAGTAAAGTTCAGGAGACCCTCATCTCCAATTAACTTCCACCAAACTGGAAAAAGAGTTGTGGCTCCAGTGGTAGAACACTAGCCTTGAGGATAAAAGCCCAGACACATCACCCAGAATTCAAGCCCCAGGACCTGCACACACAAAAAATGTTGGAATGAGACTGGGGGTTAGTGGTTCATGCCATTAATCCTAGCTACTCAGGAGGCTGAGAACTAAGAATCTCAGGAAAATCACTGAGACTCTTATCTCCAATTAACCACCAGAAGGTTCAAAGTTGAGGTGTGGCCCACGCATTAAAGCACCAGCATTGAACAAAAGGGACAGAGCTCAGGGACAGAGCACAAGCCTTGAGCCCCAGTCCTGGCACCAATAAAAAAAAAATTGAAATAGGAATTAGGGAATGTAGTACTCAATGGCAGAGTGCTTGCCTGGCATGTATGAGGCCCTGCATTAGATCCCAAGAAATACACAAACATTAACCCTCTGGGCATGTGTGCATGGCAATTAAAAACAAAGGCTGGCATAATCTGATCAGCAAAATAAAAGTGTGGCCAGGGCTCTGGTGGCTCACATCTATAATCCTAGCTACTCAGGAGGCTGAGATCTGAGGATCAGAGTTTCCCAGTCAGCCCAGGAACTCCTCTTATCTCCAATTAATCACCAAAAACCTCAAAGTGGAGCTGTGGCTCAAATGGTAGAGAGAGCTACTTGAGCTGAAGAGCTCAGGGACAGTGCCCAGGCCTAGAGTTCCAGCCCCATGACCGACCAAAAAAAAAAAAAAAAGGTAAGAAAAAACTTCACAGCAGAAGAAATCTAATGGACACTACTTCTGTAATGTAATTAAAGAAAACACATCAATAATCATAATCACATTTCTAATATATTCCAGTTATAATTTAAGGATCTACCTCCCCAAACCCACATCTAAAGTCTAATGTGAACATCTGATTAATTCTAAAAAGAAGTTTTTTACATTTGACCAATATTCTTTTTTTTTTTCTTGGTTGTGGGGCCTCTGGGCTTGGGGCTGTCCCTCAGCTCTTCAACTCAAGGCTAGTGCTCTACCACTCAAGCCATAGCACCACTTCTGGGTTTTCCTGCTTATGTGGTGCTGAAGAATCGAACCCAGGGCCTCAAGCATTCAAGGCAGGCACTCTACCACTGAGCCACCTTCCCAGCCCTTAACCAGTTTTCTTATCACTATCAAGGTCAAGCCTGGGGCGGTGGCCTACCCCCATAATCCTAGCTACTTTGGAGGCTGAAATCTGAGGATCAGCTCTAAACCAGCCTGGCAGGAAAGTGTGAGACTCTTATCTCCAATTAACTACCAGAAAACCTGAAGTGGCACTGGGACAGGGCCCCCGGCCCAGAGATCAAGCCCCCCACGACCGAACCCTCCCCCTCAAAAAAAGTAGTTAGAAAAGCCAGTCTGGAGCAGGAAAGTCTCAAGCAGTAACGCGCTCGCCTTGAGCTAAAGAGCGCAGGGAGGGATAGGGCCCAGGCCCAGAGTTCAAGTTCCCCACAACCGACCAAAAAAAAAAAAAAAAGAAGTTAGAAGCCAGTCTGGGGCAGGAAAGTCTATTAGACACTTATTTCCAATCAACCACCAAAAAGCCTGAAGTAGAGATGTGCCTCAAGTGGTAGAGCACTAGTCTCAAGCACAAAAGTTTAGGTACAGTGCCAGGACCCTGAGCTCAAGCCCCAGGACCCACACTTCAAAAAAAAAGTTACTGGGCTCCATTGGCTTAAGCCAGTAATCCTAGCTACTCAGGAGGCTGTGATCTGATTTTTTTAGCCAGCAGGAACAGGAAAGCCCAAGAGACTTTTATCTCCAGTTAATCACCAGAAAACCAGAAGTGGCACTGTGGCTCAAAGTGGTAGAGCACCAGCCTTGAGTAAAAAAGCTCAAGGACAGCTAGCGCCCAAGTTGAGTTCAAGCACCATGACCAACCCCCGCCCCCCTAAATATATATTGCATCACAAATTGTAAAAAAAAAAATGCACTAGAATCATTAGAGATGAAAATGTGCAGGAGGCAGACTAGATGAAAACTGGATGCCCTTCCAGTTATTCTAAGAAACTTCTAAACAAATCTACTAATTAGACAAACTTTCAAATATTCTTATTTTTTTTTATTTATTTTTTTGCTGGCCGTGGGACCTACCATGAGCCACAGCGCCACTTCCAGCTTTTTTTGCTTATGTGGTACTAAGGAATCGAACCCAGGGCCTCATGCATGCAAGGAAAGCACTCTACCACTGAGCCACCTTCCCAGCCCCAAATATTCATATTTTAAAGAAAGAATTAACCCCAGCTTATAACTTAGGAGGAGTATCACGGTTATGTTTGAGATACAAACAAACTGAATGTAGTAGGTCATAATCCCATGTATGGTTGAGAAGCAAGGATAAGAGGACCAATGCTGACCCAGGGGGAAAAAAATCAAAGAGGGGCTGGGAAAGTGGCTCCGTGGTACAGTGGTAGTCTTTTTCTGTTTATGTGATACTGAGGAGTCGAACCCAGAGCTTCATGCATGCTTGGCAAGCACTCTACCACTAAGCCACATTCCTAGCCCCTCCATGAAACTCATCTCCAATAAACTACTCAGAAAAAGTCAGAAATGGCATTGTGGCTAAAGTGGTAGAGCACTAGCCTTGAGCACAAAGAAACTCAGGGACCAGCGCCCAGGCTCTGAGTTCAAGGCCAGGACCAGCCCCCTCTCGCCCCCCCCCCAAAAAAAAGTCTAGACTTTCCTGCTCTGGCTAGCTTTGAACTTCAGTACTCAGATCTAAGCCTCCTGAGTAGCTAGGATTACAGGAGAGAACCATCAGTACAAACTTACTATTCCCTACTAACATCAACTAGGCCTGGTGTGAAGTGCTTTCTGTACCAGTCAGGCTGCCTAGAGAGTTTGTACAACCCGAAGGATCCGTATCTGGTAAGCAGGTGGCCTATATTAAGGTTCAAGTTTCTGTGACCCCAGTAGGCTGTAATTATTATAGAGAAAAGATCCATGTAGATGTCAAGATACTCAGACTAAGCTTTGGCTTAGTTTTTCTCAACAGGCCTCTATACCCTAAAATGACAGACCACAACAGGAGTAAAAGATGACTGAGCCAGTGCATTGCAAACAGAAACCACAGAATGACCCTGAGAGATGTTGGTAATAACTTTCTAATTTCATACGCAGGTGAGACTTCAGGGTGGACCCAGAATGAAGATAGGACATTTCTGCAGGCTACAGGCAGTATCAAGGCTCCATATCCATCATGCACCTTGGGCACAGGCACAAACTTACCCCTGGTTTGAAAGATGGGAGTCCCAGTCCTACGCCAATGGTGGCCTTATTAGGATTCACCACTGAATTATAATGAATATTCCGGTGATAGCTGACACGGATGGGTTCATCTTCATTTTGATGGATTCCGTGGAATGTGTTGATAGGTTCTGCAGAGAAAGAGAAAAAAGAAGCATCCACAGGGAGCCAGATATGGCAGTCTCAGATGAGGCACCATTAGGCCCTCACCTACTCACTACAGAAGTACCTGTGCTATATTGGTACACCTCCACAGGGCGGTTGTACATCTCTGCCATGGCCTGCATCTCAATGTGGTTGCCATGGCAATTGTTTTTCCTCTTCCGGTTGATATAGGTTGTGAAGTCTTCTGTGACATAGTTGGAGAAGTAGTCTGCATTCTTCATCTGTGAAATAGATTGGAAGATCTAGGTCTGAATGCAATGATCTTCCCACCCTCCATGTCCCAAGTCCTTCCTAGGGTTCTTACCAAATAGTCCATACAGTGCTTTCGCACAACTTCATGCATGTCCTGGTCACCATATACCTGGTCAGCTGAGGGAGAAGAAGAAAGGAGAAGCTGGGGTCAGAGCTGCCACCAGAGAAGAGTTCTGCTGGTGATGAGGGGAAATTCCCTTTCCTACCCCATGGTCTGGAGAGTTCTTGCCCTTGTGTAGTGGTAACAGGCTTATGAACAAAAGAGGAAGGCAAGGATAATCTTGAAGAATGAGAGTACAGATGAGAGTGATACAACTACAGGTTGATTGATACAACTACAGATTTCTCCTGGTACCTTTGTTTAGGGTATAACTCAGATAAACATTCTAAGTCCCATAAGTGGCCTTGTATACCATCCATATAAGATACTATATTCCCGTTTAATTTTCACTTTAGGAAACATGAAGCTGAAGGAGCCTGCGGCTTGCTCCAGGTCACAAAGAGTCAGTCTGTAAGAATCACCTCTGGGACTTAATTTTCCTTACTCTAAAGCAGGGGTGGGGAACATCTGGCCAGGGGGCTTTATAAGGCCCTCAAAATCATTTGGGAGATGATGAGACAGACATGCATGCTTTTCATCAGCTGTCCTAGGCCACTGGACTGTATTGATAATTTTATATGGCCTGCAAATGATGCTATAAATATATAATAATCCTTGGCAGAAAAAAAAGGTTCTACACTTCAGCTCTAAGGAGTCAGTATAGTTGTTATAGTTAAAAAAAGAGGGGGGGGAGTGGGGAGGATTGGGTGGAGGTCGGGGGAGGGGGGGAGGATGGGAAGGGATGTGAAGGGGAAACAAAGGAGGAGGCTATAATGCTTGATAAGAAATGTACTCATTATCTTGCCCATGTAATTGTAACCCCTCTGTACAGTATATTCACAATAAAAAAAGAAAAGAAAAAGAAAAGACTGAAAACCAGGCAACAGTGCCTCTTATCCTAGATACTCAGGAAGCTGAGACCTGGATCTCAGTCTGATGCTAGCCTGGGCTAAACAGCCTGGAAGATTCAATCTCCAATTAAGCAGTAAAATTACAGATTAGAGGCTGAGCTCAAGTGGTAGAGTACCAGCTATGAGCAAGAAAGCCAAGGGAGAGGACAAGGCCTTTTGTACTTGCACCAAAAAGGAATGAGTAAGATCCTGGGGCTCAAAATCTCTACTACCACACGGATGGACGGACGGACGGACGGACAGAAGGAAGGCAGGAAGGAAGGAAGGAAGCAAGCAAGCCTGGTGCCAGTAATCCTAGCTACCTGCAAGGTGGAGATCCAGGGAACCAAAGTTTGACCCTTGTCAACCAATATCTGGGCATGGTGGCATGCTCCTATCATGCCAGTTATGTGGGAGGTTGAGATCAGGAGGACTGTGGTTCCAGCTCAGTCCAGGCAGAAAAATCCAGGAGATTCCATTTCAGTGGAAGAGCTGAACATGGTACCATGCACCTGTCATCCCAGCTATGACGGGAAACATAAAATAAACAGATAGTGCTGGGCACTGGTGGCTCACACCTGTAATCCTAGCTACCAGAAGATAAGATCTGAGAAACGGGGCTGGGAATGTGGCTTAGTGGTAGAGTGCTTTGTGAGGCCCTGTGTTTGATTCCTCAGTACCACATAAACAGAAAAAGCCAGAATTGGTGCTGTGGCTCAAGTGGTAGAGTGTTATTCTTGAGCAAAAGAAGTTCAGGGACAGTTCAAGACCCAGGACTGGCAAAAAAAAATCTGAGAAATGCAGTGTAAAGTCAACCAGGACAGTAGCAAAGCCTGTAAGCAAAGCTGGAAGTAGATCTGTAGTTCAAATGGGATAGTGCTGGCTTTGAGCAAAAAAGCTTTAAGACAGCACTCAGCACCTGAGTTCAAACCCCAATACTGGCGCATGCGTGCGCGCCGCATGCACACAACACACACACACACACGCGTGCGTGCGCACACACACACACACAAATATATATTGTAGTCCCCATGAGGGACTGGACAAAAAGGAAGACTATCTCAAAATAACCAGTGTAAGGCCGGGCACTGATGCCTCATGCTTGTAAATCCTAGTTATTCAAAAGGCTGAGATCTGAGAATCATGCTTTGAAGCCAGCTTGGGCAGAAAAGTTCCCATTAGATGCTTATCTCCAATTAACCATTCAAAATCTGGAAGTGGCTCTGTGGCTCAAGTGGTAGAGCACTAACTTTAGCACAAAGAGGCTCAGGGACAGTGCTCAGGCCCTGAGTTCAAGCCCCACAACTGACAAAAAAAATCCAGTGCAAAAAAGGCTGGAGGGGGCTGGGAAGGTGGCTCAGCGGTAGAGTACATGCCTTGTAAGCATGAGGCCCTGGGTTCGATTCCTCAGCACCATATAAGCAAAAAGAAAAAAGCCGGAAGTGGCGCTATGGCTCAAGTGGTAGAGCGCTAGCCTTGAGCTGAAGAGCTGAGGGACAGTGCCCAGGCCCAGAGTTCAGGCCCCACGACTGGACCCAAAAACAAAAAACCAACAAACAAAAAAGGCTGGAGGAAGCATGGCTTAGCAGTAGAGCATGTATCAAGCAAGTTTGAGACCCTAAGTTTAAACCCCAATACTGGAAGGAAAAAAAGGAAGGGAAATTTTCAAGCCTAATTCTGCCAGATACTAGTGAGCCAATTGACTCTGACTTCGATGCCTCATCTGTAAAATAGAAGAGAGATAATGACCTGAAGACCACTAGTGAGGATTCAATAACATAATGGGTATAAAGTGACTAGCAGTGGGCCTGGGGGCAGAAGACTAACACAAACAGCAGGCACCTGTAATCTTAGTGATCTGAGGATCATAGTTCAAAACTAGCTGGAGTAGAAAAGTCCATGAGACTTGTGTGTGCCAGTTCTAGGGCTTGAACTCAGAACCTGGGTGCTGTCCCTGAGCTTTTTTGCTCAAAGCTAGTGCTCTACCACTTGAGCCACAGCTCCACCTGTAGCATTTTTTTGGTGCTTAATGAAGACAAGTGTTTCCTGGACTTTTCCTGCTTAGGCTGGCTTCAAACCACAGTCCTCAGATCAGACTTCTGAGTAGTTAGGATTTACAGGTGTGAGTCCCCAGGGCCTGGCTGTGTGAGACATTCATCTTCAACTAACCACCAAAAAGCCAGAATTGAAGCTCTTGGCTCAAGTAGCAGAACACCATCCTTGAACAGAATGCTAAGAGACAGCCAGGCACTGATAACTCATGTCTTAGATTCCCCTCCCCCCCAAAAAAAAACCCAACTCTGTTCTTCCCTTCAGAGAACATACACAGTTTAGTTAGTACCTATTTCTTCAATACCACATAGTCTTTTTTGTTTTTGCCAGTCGTGGGGCTTGAATTCAGGGCATGGGCACTGTCCCTGAGCTTCTTTTGCTCAAGGTTAGCACTCTACAACTTGAGGCACAGTGCCATTTCTGACTTTTTCTGTTTATGTGGTACTGAGGAATCGAACCCAGGGTTTCATGCATGCTAGGCAAGAACCCTACCACTAAGCCACATTCCCAGCCAATACCACATATTCTTAGTATTTATTTGGCGCTGGGGACAAAACCGAAGGTCTCACATAAGCAAGGCAAGCACTCTTTATCAGCTACACCTCCAGTTCCCTACTCCCCAGAGCACTTCTATCACCGCACTCATCAAAAGTATGCAGAGATTTCTGCTCAACCAAACTAGGCTCCCACTGGAGGAAGAGAACCAGTTCATACTTAAAGCCCACTCCCCCACCCAGGCTCAAGGCCTGAAACAGCAAAGGAAATGAGTATGCTGAGCTGGTAAGACAGGCTAGGGATAGAGCTGGGAACGCTTCTAAGACATTAAAGTACTGGAGCTGGGAAGGTGGCTCAGTGGTAGAGTGCTTGCCTTGCATGCCTGAGGCCCTGGGTTCGATTCCTCAGCACCACATAAGCAAAAAGAAAAAAGCCGGAAGTGGCGCTGTGGCTCAAGTGGTAGAACGCTAGCCTTGGGCTGAAGAGCTGAGGGACAGCGCCCAGGCCGAGTTCAGGCCCATGACTGGACCAAAAAAAAGAAAAAAGAATAAAAGCTGGAAGTGGCGCTGTGGCTCAAGTGGTAGAGCGTTAGCCTTGAGCTGAAGAACAGTGCCCAGGCCCAGAGTTCAGGCCCCACGACCGGACCCAAAAAAAAAAAAGAAAGAAAGAAATTAAAGTACTGTCTTTGTTTTCTGTCTTATTTGTTCATTTATCAGTCTTTGGGGGGGCACAGAAATGGTGGGACAAAGTGTGAGCAAATGCAGCATTGGCACTTCCTGGACACTATGTTGAAAATGAAATGTACAACTAGTGGGTAGGGACAAGAGGAAAAAACTGGGAGAAAGCGAAGGAAGGAGATGATACTATCCAAAAAGAAATGCACTTCAGGGGCTAGGAAGGTGGCTCAGTGGTAGAGTGCTTGTCTTGCCTGCATGAGGCCCTGGGTTCGATTCCTCAGCACCACATAAGCAGAAAAAGCTGGAAGTTCCACTGTGGCTCAAGAGGTAGAATGTTAGCCTTAAGCTGAAGAGCTAAGAGACAGTGCCCGGTCCCAGAGTTCAGGCCCCATGACCAACCAAAAAAAAAGAAAAGAAAAGAAGGGCTGGGAAGGTGGCTCAGTGGTAGAGTGCTTGCCTTGCATGCATGAGGCCCTGGGTTCAATTCCTCAGCACCACATAAGCAAAAAGAAAAGTTCCACTGTGGCTCAAGAGGTAGAATGTTAGCCTTAAGCTGAAGAGCTAAGAGACAGTGCCCGGTCCCAGAGTTCAGGCCCCATGACCAACCAAAAAAAAAGAAAAGAAAAGAAGGGCTGGGAAGGTGGCTCAGTGGTAGAGTGCTTGCCTTGCATGCATGAGGCCCTGGGTTCAATTCCTCAGCACCACATAAGCAAAAAGAAAAAAAGCCGGAAGTGGCACTGTGGCTCAAGTGGTAGAGCGCTAGCCTTGAGCTGAAGAGCTGAGGGACAGTGCCCAGGCCCAGAGTTCAGGCCCCACGACCGGACGCCCCCCTCCCAAAAAAAGAAAAAGAAATGCACTTCATTACCTGACTTATGAAACTGTTACCTCTCTGTATATCACCTT